GCCAGCCCTAATTGGAAGATTTCTGCTGTGTTTTGGGGCAACAACTTGTCTGCAGTAAAAAAGCATATAATTTGTGTTTCAAAAGTGTGTGAAAACCAATCAATTAACTTATATGATCTCGGTTCCGATATTAAATAATTAATAATTGTTTATACCCGCATTTTGGTACATTAGCTCGTTGAATGTGCCATCTAATAAATAGTGTCGTCATTCTCCTTAGCTGGTTTTAAATGATGTCACAAATTGCTGGCGGAGACATGAATACAGTGTAAGAAAATTCTTTTTCTATAATTGTTTCCTTATAGAAAAGTTGGTTTCTTTTCCACCTTAGACATTCCGAATTCGTTCAAAATATGCTAAAATAAAACACAGAATTCTTTCAGTGTTCCTCCGGGGGTTTTGGACATGGACTGTTTCTTCAATTTAATAGTGTTCGATTTATTTTTGTGGAAACGAAATATGTTTTGCAAGTTATGGATCATTCCTACACTCTTTCTTCAAATATTTCTCGTGGTCCAGCTGTGCGCAGGCGTTTAGTTTTTCGCATCGTGTTTTTCCATATTCGTAATTTAATTTTTGAAGTGAAACTTCTTAGGCGGCGGTATCGCAAAAATGGAGAGTGAAATTTTTAAAACCGAAAACGTTACATGAGTGAGAAGATATGGATAGTATAGGAAAGGGGAAAAAAGAAATAAAGCGAAGCATTACGGGTACGAGTACCTACATATGTATATATGTATGTATGTTTGAATGCACGTATCTATGTATACATATATATGTATGTATGAACGAACTCATTGCGCATTTCAGCTCTGCCGCTACCAAGCAATATATGCGTGCTTCGCGTAACTACATCCATTCGTACATATGTACATATGTTTGTATGGATATATTTATGATGAAGCAAACGGGCTTCGTTGATGTACTGATAGGGCATAGGTATGTACTTATGGACAGCAATGTTTTCATGTATGTGCATATGTTTGAATGGTTGTATATATATTTGTACGTATGTACATATGTTTGTGTATGTACATATGTTTGTGTACATGTATTTATGCACATATGTAGTACAAACGAAAACAAATCTAATAAGCTGCTCGTTGATATAAATGCGAACTGTACTGATTGTCAAAAATTATGTGTTTGTTGTACATTTCTTCATGTTTGTCACTGTGCGTGTAATTTTCTAGATTAGTTTTGTGCTCTCGCTATTTCCTTGTATTAACTCGTCCTTCGTTGGTATACTCTGATGAACATGTGTGAGGATGATAGCAAGGCCAACTTATATAAGGTAGTGTTACAGGAGCAGCGATCGGGCGCAACGCGAGCCATGTGGGACCGTTATAGGGAACTGAAGAAGGAAGCGAGACGTATTTGCCGCAATAAGAAGAGAGAGGCCGAAATACGTGAGTGCGAAGAGCTTGAGATGCTGGCCGACAGGAAGAACGCCCGAAAATTCTACCAGAGGGTTAGGCGACTTACGGAAGGTTTCAAGACCGGGGCGAACTCCTGTAAGAACAACAATGGCGACCTAGTGACCGATGTCCAGAATATACTTAAATTGTGGAGGGAACACTTTTATAACCTACTGAATGGTAGCAGCGCTGAAAGTAGTGAGGAAGACGAACCCGAGTCCCCAGTCGATGATGATGGAGTAGCTGTCCCACCGCCTGACTATGACGAGGTACGAATAGCGATTACGCGGCTGAAAAACAACAAAGCTGCTGGAGCTGACGGCCTGCCAGCCGAGCTATTCAAGTACGGCGGCGAGGAGCTGATGAGGTGCATGCATCAGCTCGTATGCAGAATATGGTCAGATGAACGCATGCCCGACGACTGGAATTTAAGTGTGCTCTGCCCAATCCACAAGAAAGGCGACCCCGCCATACGCGCCAACTACCGCGGAATTAGCCTTCTAAGCATAGGTTACAAGGTCTTATCGAGCGTATTGTGCGAAAGACTGAAGCCCACCGTCAACGAGCTGATTGGACCTTATCAATGTGGCTTTAGGCCTGGAAAATCCACCATAGATCAGGTATTCACAATACGCCAAATCTTGGAAAAGACCCGCGAGAATAGGATCGACACACACCATCTATTTGTCGATTTCAAAGCCGCTTTCGACAGCACGAAGAGAAGTTGCCTTTATGCCGCGATGTCTGAATTTGGTATCCCCGCGAAACTAATACGGCTGTGTAAAATGACGTTGAGCAATACCACCAGCTCCGTCAGAATAGGGAAGGACCTCTCCGAGCCGTTTGATACCAAACGAGGTTTCAGACAAGGGGACCCCCTTTCGTGTGATTTCTTTAATCTTATGTTGGAGAAGATAATAAGAGCCGCAGAACTGAACCGCTCAGGCACAATACTTTATAAGAGCGTACAATTGCTGGCGTATGCCGACGACATCGATATTATCGGTAAAAACAAGGGCTACGTCTGTTCTGCCTTCTCGGGATTGGATAGAGAAGCAAAGCGAATGGGTCTGGTGGTGAACGAGGACAAAACGAAGTATCTCCTGTCAGCACACAAACAGTCAGAGCATACGCGTCTTGGCACCCACGTCACTGTTGACAGTTACAAGTTTGAAAAAGTAGACGACTTCGTTTATTTGGGAACCAGCATTAACACCAATAATAATGTCAGCCTTGAAATCCAACGGAGAATCACTCTTGCCAACAAGTGCTACTTTGGGCTGAGTAGGCAATTGAGAAGTAAAGTCCTCTCTCGTCGTACAAAGATCACACTCTATAAGTCACTCATCATGCCTGTGCTGGTGTATGGCGCGGAAGCATGGACAATGAAAGCATCTGATGAGGCGGCTCTTGGAGTTTTCGAGAGAAAGATTCTGCGAAAGATTTACGGACCTTTACGCGTTGGTGATGGCGAATATCGCAGACGATTTAACGATGAGCTGTATGAGCTTTACAACGATATAGACATAATGCAGCGAATTAAAATTCAGCGGCTCCGCTGGCTTGGCCATGTCGTTCGGATGGACAGAAACGCTCCTGCTCTGAAAATATTCAACGCGGGCCGCGATGCTGGGAACAGAGGAAGAGGAAGGCCTCCTCTGCGTTGGAAAGACCAGGTGGAGAAGGACTTGGCTTCACTTGGCATTTTCAATTGGCGTCAGTTAGCACAGAAGAGAAATGACTGGCGTGCTGTTTTGGACTCGGCCAAAATCGCTTAGGCGGTTACAGCGCCAAATAAGAAGAAGAAGAAGTATGATTGTAATTTCTGCAAATTACTTGGTGCTGGCGCATTAACAATGGCTCTCACTTTGTTTGGATTTGGTTTGACCCCACAACCAGTTAAGCAATGACCTAAATATTCAACAGATGTTTTTAGGAAACGACTTTTTTCAATATTAATCTTAACATTGAATTTTGATAGACGATCACACACAGTGTACACGTTATCAATGGCTTGTTGCTGATTTAATCCACCAATAATTATATCGTCTTGAAAGGCTCTAACGAATCGCATACCATTCAACATTTGGTCCATGACTGACTGGAATACCGACGCAGCGCAATTAACACCAAATGTTAATCGCTTATATTCGAATAAACCATTTTGGGTGTTGATGACAAGAATTTTCCTGGAATCGTTAGATAATTTCAATTGTTGATAGGCGCCATTTAAATCAATAACAGAAAAATACTTGCAGTTTGCGAAATCAGCGAATATATCGTCCACCAACGGTAAGGGATAATGGGAAAATTCGAGACACTTATTTAACGATGCTTTCCCATCAAGACAAATCCTTATTTCTCCGTTCGATTTCGCAACAATTACAATGGGACTGGCCCACTGGCTATACTCAATGGGTTCTAATATTTCTTCTTTACACAAACGATCAAGTTCTAGACTGACTTTTTCACGGAATTTAAATGGGACAGTGTACGCGGCATGAAAAACTGGTGTCTTATTTTCTTTTAATACTAAATCAACTTCAAAGTCCCTAATAACCTCATTTAATCTTTCATCAACAATGTTAGGATACCTTTTCTTAATATTTTGAAAGATATCATTATGTTCGATCCAGTTAATTATAATATTGCTCGCAAACCTGTCACGCCATCCATGAAACAACTTGTCCAGCCATGGCCTTCCCATTAATGGTTTGAACTTTTTTCCGATGTTAACAACAGACATTTTTAGAGGGACTACAACATCGCGACGAGTCAACTTAGCAATGAACGATCCACATTCCACAATTTTGTGCCCTGAAAAAGTTATTAAATTATTACTAGACCTGACTAATTTAACGTTTTGAAATTTTTCATCGAACTCATCCTTTGACATGATCGTAGTGCAGGCTCCACTGTCCACTTCCATTTCAATCAGAGTGTTGTTGACATTAACATTAATACAGCATGCTTCACTGACATTATTGATATTGTTGATGGTTTTGATCGATTCCGAAAATGTACATACGGAAGAAGTGTGACCCTTACGTTTGCACTTAAAACATTCCCAGTTGACTGCTGGGCATTTCTTTTCATCATGTTTTCTTCCACAACGTTTGCACTTACTGAACTTCTGTGCTTGACTCTCATCCGATGACTTCTTTGATTTCTGTGCCGCTTTCTGACTTTTTTGTTTCCACTCAGACTTCTTTGTTGTCAAATTTTTGTCTCTATTAGCGTTAGTCTCATTTTTCAAACTA